GGGGAAGAAAGAAGAGCTACTTAGTCTGTGCAGAGTATATTATTGATATGCTGATTAAGCATAAAGAGAGTGATCATTAACTGCAATTCACGTAAATTACAGCAGCACAGATGTGGGGGTTGGGAGGATGAAAAAGCAAGTCACTTTAATAATGTACAATAGAAATGTGATGGATAATTCATACAGGACAAAAAGAGTGGAGTCTAAATCCTGCTCTGCATATTCATGTGGGTATTTGTATTGGTTTCAGTGTATTTTCTTATTTTGGTAAGAAAGATGTTTCTAATTTGAAACATTTCTAAATTGAAACGCCAAACTAAATTAGTTCTGTGTTCTTTGGGAGGTTTGGAAAATTGTGTCATAAGAACAGTGCATTGTTCTACAGTCACCCAAATTCTGACATGTTCTTTACATGTTTATTGCACATACTGATAGACTTGATAGTTCTTTGGTCCTCTTTTGGGTAGTTGGTTGAAAAGTAAAAGAAGAAATTGTTCCTTTTTTTTTGCTTACAGCTAGAGGAAAAAGTGTTCTGATATTTATTATTATAACATAGGTAATTGTTAAAAACACCCTCTTCCCCCCAACTCTGTCCTGTACACAACCAGTAAGTTGTAAGCAAAATCAAAAATTAGGGGTTGGGAAATAGAAACTTCTCCAATGATCAAATGCCATATCTCTAAGTCCCTAAGTTTTTTGTGTTTAGACTCATCTGACCTGAGAGCTAGGCATGTTCATTATCATAAACTCTGGGATGCATACTTGAGCTGCTGACTGTACACTGAAGTGCTTTCAAAATCTGTTGTGAATATTCACTTCTTCTTAGTTCTTGCTCTCATAATCATTTGGACAGAACAAGTTGTTGCTCTCAATGATGGAAACTTCATTAAGTATTAGTGGAGAAGCAGATAATGTTCCCTGTTTCTATAATAATAGTTTGTGTTGTGTGAGGAAGGCCAGAACATATGTTATGGAGATTGATTGAGAGCTTTTTCCATGAACCAAAATTGGGTTAGAATTGAAAATCTTGAGTACAAATGAGGAAAACGTCTCCTTTCTTATATTTCAAAAGCCTGCAAGTAGTTTGTCGCATTAGACTTCGCCTGCCCACAAAAGTGAGTCTCCCAGGCTGCATTTGTTCTGGTTGCAATAATCTGCTAACATGTGGCACTGTAAAATCTTCTGGCTTTTTTTTTTTTTTTTTTTTTTGGTGGGATATCATGGATTCAGTGACGGAAGAAAAGTCAGAATAAATAAGGCACTTGGGTACTGCTTGTGACTAGATGAAAGTAGAGAAGAATGTGGGTGTAATGACGTTTTGAGTGTGATTAAGGTACGCTCAAATAAACTGTATTCAGTAGTCAGTTATTTTGGCTGTTGGGAACAGAAAGTTTCTGTTTATATGACAGAGATTTTCAAGATTAATAAGTATTTCCATGAGTACTGGAAATAATGTGGCTCATTTTCCTGCAGCTTTAAGTCTTGTGGTTAATTGTGTCCCTGCAATTGAAGCTCTTCTTGCAGTGGGTCCTTAATGCCATTTGGTTTCCTCATATAATGCTGCAGCCTTCCCCTGAGCTTGGACATGCAGAAAGTTTCTCTGACCTCACAAAGTCCCTCATTTTCACATGGCTGCAGATCTGAAGGACAGCTCAGCCTTCAGTTGAACTTGAAACTAGCCAACAAATACAGAAATCTATGAGTGTGATCTAAATTTAATTTTCTTTTAATGCTGATTGGCATCTTTGTATGTATTTTTTTTGTGTCTGGGATGTAAAACTTGTCAGCTATTAAATTATACTGTATTTTAAGTGGAGGATGTTACCAAACTTACCAGAAGGTTGTGAAAATGTGTGTCAGAGTGAAACGATATCAAACAATTGGTGTGATTCAGAAGAATTGAAATTAAAAAAAAAAACAAAAAAAAAAAACTCTTATTCTATATGCTTCTTATTCAAGTGCTTGTTTTTCAAAATGGAAGCAGGCATGTTATTCTATTACATTTTCCCTACTCATTAGTAGTGGTATTTCCTTAGTACTTCTGTTAACATTCCGTCACAAACAGGGTTTATACATGTTTTGCCTGTGGTCTGGTCTCCTTACAGCTTTATGTATTTCCTACTGTCACTCTGCCTTTCAGGACTTGTGTATCAGGTCTGAAATTTAAGCAGGCTATTTTGATGATTGGAAGTCAAACTAACCACAGGGGATTCTGTTCTTGTGAATTGTAGACTTTGTTTCATTTTGCTCTGAAAAGCTGATTGAAAAAATAAATGCTTTCAGTTAATATTCACTGATTTTCTTTAACTGAAATATCTGCTTTTAGTGTACTTGGGAAGTGTATTCCTTTCATTTTATTCTCCTTTCTTCCAAATAATGTGTATAAAGAAATTGTACTGTAGTTTCCATAAACTCTTCCTTTCGCCTCCCATTTCCTGTAGTCAAACATGTTGGTTCTTCTCTGTAGACACTTTTTTTTTCTAGTAGAATAAAACAGCTTAAGTGTATATTTTTCATAAATACAATATAAATGATTTTGCTTTGCAGAGAGGCATTTAGGAATCTTCCTGCTTAGAATTAATGGATTTTGGTTCAGACTTGGAGCCTACCTCAGTCTGTAGATGCTTCCTTTACACTAAATCTGGACATAAGAGAGGGAGTACTGGTGCTGTGGTATCTTTTTTTTCCCCCTTTCTGACAGCAGTTAATATTAATGATTTAAAAAGACGTGCAAGATGATTATTTTATTCTATGAATGTTGTTAAACTGGTGACAAATTTATTAGTTCTGCTTTCTGAATATAATGTGTACTGTTTCTATAGGCATCAGAACTTTCACAAATGTTCATCAGTACGTACTTTGGTTGTATTTTAGCTTGCTTTGACTTTTTGTGCTCTATCTCCAGCTGGTTTCACTAAGAATGCATTTAAAAGAGGAGCTTAAATGCAAAAAATTTAGGTGGAACTGGGTGAAAAAATGAGGGAAATATTTTGAAAAAGCTCAAGATCCCAGTGTTAGCTCAAAATTATGACTTCTGTGTGGTCAGTTGTTAGTCCTTGTTAACAAGAGAAATGCTGCTTTAAAATTTAGCGCGCAGAATATCCTATGGATGTGTTCATTTGATAACTGCATCGTCCAGTTACTTGAAAAATCCAGCATGATCATAAAAATTCTGTGTTTCAGCACACTTAAAATAGCTGTTAACTTGATATTAAGTTAAATGTGTGCTGCTTTTCACTAGCAGCCTACTAACATAGGTTTCATGATGTGATATAAAGGGAGAGGGAAGCTTTTTCGTGTGCTGTCTTTTGAAATTGGGTTTTGTTATTTTTTTTTTAACCATCTCCCTTCAAATTAGGATGGCATTTTTCTTTTTTAAATAGAAACAACCCCAAAAAGCTAAATGCACAGTAAGTGCGACGTTCCATTTTTATAAGTGATAATTACTGAGGAGAAAACCCCACATACTTGCCTCATCAGTCATCCTACTGATGGTTGCTGAAGTTTCAGCATCAGTTTTCTGTGGTGTCAAATTGAAAAGAAAGAAAGAAGAAAGGAAAAGGGCAAGTTTTAACGTCTGTTCCAAAACTTAAATAAAGATCTCATTTGGACTGGGAGCTGCAGATCCTCCAGCTTCCCCTTGTTAGCATTCCAAGCTCAGAACCAGCGTTACTGCCCTCGTGGGCAGTGTTATTTCTGTCAGCCCCGTCAGCACAAACGAACCGCTTGTGAGCAGCTCCCTGATGGCCCCGATCACCGTTAGCTACTTTTCCCTTCGTAAAGAAATGCTTGCTCCATAACTTTGTTGTGTTTGGATGTATTTGCATAAAACAAAGCGCAGTGATTACCGTGGAACGCTGCGTTGTTTATCAACGGAGTTGATTTTTAAGACCGTGCTTTCACTTTTCCAGACCGGTTCTCCAAGGAGCAGCCTTAGCCGTCACAGCGCGACCACCTGAGGCGGGAGGCGGCGGGCGCGCTCCCATTTCGAGCCCGCCGGGCGGAGCTGTGCGGGTGGCGCCGTTAGCACCCCCAGGCGCCCCTCGGCTCGGCAGGCGGCGCTGTCTGGTGCGGCGCGGCCCCGGCCCCGAGAGGGAAGGATCGTGCCGACTGCAGCCTGCGCCTTCTGCCCCGCCCGTGTGGGTCTGTCCTGTGGCTGTGGCGCTGCCCCCCTTCGTATTCACTCAGGTTAGGATGAGCGGGCTGTGTGGCAGCGCTTGCGGTAGTCGAGAGGCTTTGGAGCAGAAGCTGGTTGTGATGGAACACGTGTCACATCCTTGCGTTCCGCTTTTCATCTGTGGTTGAGCTGTGTGAACACCGGGGTTAAGGGCTTTTTGCACTGTGCCTAGACACGATCTTAGGCGTAATATGGTAACGAAACGTGTGAGTTCTGCACGGTGACTCGCGGTCCTTTTGTCTGAGCATTAGTTTTCCCTTCCTACCTTGATGTCTCTCACACCAGAACTGCGTTTTCAGCTGCAGAGGCCCAGCGGCATAATTAAGACGTGCGAGTTGTCTGCTGGCACGTGCCTGCGTGGGCTGCTGTGTGCTTTGTGTGTCGCGGTGCTGGGCGATGGCCGGCGGTCGGCATTGCCCTTCCTCAGGGGGCTGGTGCCTGCTTTCTAGGCTGCAGAGGAAAAACAGAAACTGCTCCATCTGCATTCTTGTTTCAGAAGCAACTTAAACTAAAAGCCTGAAGTGAAGTCTCTAAATCTGCAGGACTGTAGCTGCTTACGGCAGTTGTAGCCCTGAGGCTTATTTTCTAAATTACATGTGAACAATGGCATATAGAACTTCCTGATAGAAAGGTTTGGAACAGCAACAGTTACAGCTTTTGCACTGTGTGCTTCATCAGTTCTCTTTGACTGAGAGTGTTACAGGTAGATTTCAACCAACAGCCTTTATTTAAGGTCTATTTAAATGTCATCAGTATGGACAAAAAAAAAAACCCAAACAAACAGTGAGGGGAGGGTGAACTAGTTTGCTGCACTCTGATGTGGGTTCTTATTATAGATCAGGCTGTAGTGTGGTATAATTCAGGTTTTACTTTTTGTTTGGAATCATTTTCTAAACTTCCATATTGAAATTTGCTTCAGTTTCTGAGGTGCTGATTGTTAAAAATCGTGAACTGTTACTTGCTACAGTTTCAAGGAGGCTCTCTAGCCCTGCCGAACCATTGCCAACATCAGCTTTGGTTTTGTGTAGTGAACTCCATTGAAGCCTCTATAGTGAAGATACCACAAACTCTGCAGGCAGGTGGTTCCAGTACTGCACTGTCTTTGTGTGGGAATAATCCTGCCTGATACCTGTCTTGAAAAATGCAGACACAATTTGTAGCCTTTTTTTTCTTCTTACACCATCTGTTACTTCTGAGGAGAGCTTTGCTGTGTTAGTCCTATTCGAGATGATGCAGTCTGCAATTACCTCACTGTGTAGCTTTTCTCTTTACAAGACCAAACAAGTCCTGCTTTCTCACCTCCTGTGCTTCTGTCCCCTAACTCTCTGAATATTAGTCATCATGCCATACTTGTCTATACAGTACCTTTCTCATCTGGAAGAGATGAAGATGTGAAAAGCCCCTGTGAGGATAGTGGGGAAGATCTTAGAATGGTATGAAGTAGGAGCATAGGTACCTAATCTGGGTGCTAATTAGGTGTGTCAGTTTAGAAGCTCTTCAAGTTATTGCTTGTATTTTACCTTTTCCACCCAGATAACTGACAAGAAGTTGGTTCTGGAGAAGTTAAGATTTCTTAAGAAAAAAGGGTGGCAGCATGCTGTGCCTTAGGTCTCCACAACTCCTACAGATGTCGCCTACACTAGTTTGTTTTCCGAAACCTCTTGTAAGGAGAAATTTATCTAGAATATGTATGTTTTCTAAGCCTTCTATTTTTATTTTTTTTTTAGTCTTATTAACTTTTTCCGTAAGAGCCAAGAATTTTAAGCTCATGCTTTCTGCCCAAAAAGGAGATTTTAATTATGGTTGAGTGGCAGGAGCTTTTTTATGGCCAATAACTTCTTGATTCAAGTGGTTATTGTTTGTTTTAAAAAGCGAACATGTTTCTTGAGGGTGAGCAAGGATTGAAAAAAATGAGAGATGAGGTAATCATGGAAGCTAAACTGAAATGAAAGTGGTAACTGGGTAGAATGACATTAAACAGCCATAGCATATGTGAAGAGAGGTGTTAGGTGTGAGGGCGGGTGAAGAATCTAGACTGAAATCTGTGGAAAGGAACTTACATTTAAACTGCTTGTGGAGCTATTCCTTGCTGCCTTCCATCTGGAAGATGTGGAGATTCTCATGTGATAGTAGGGAATAAAGATGCCACAAAAGCCTTTGGCTTCTGCGGAAGGGAGGCAGTTTGGGTTAACTCCTAGCATCCCTGTGACTCTGGCTCCTTCCTTAATATTGCAGTGATGTTTGTGCCTGTTGTCTTTTCAAAGCTTTGCCTTTACAAACATCTGTGTAAATATTTGCTACAAGTTCAAATAAACAATATTCTTTTCTGCTTCTTGCAGAATGCAAAACTAAAATCTCAACCAGGACTTCAGAAGTTAATTTCTTTGTGGCTGTGTAGTTTCATCCATAATGTGCAGTGCATTCCATCAAACTTACAGGATGTGTAACCTGGCAAAGCAAACTCTGCTACTGGAACTGGAGCGTTTATATTCCCTGATATCCTTGTGTTACCTGTTTAACTTTTGCTAATACTTTTGTGACACTTTATTAATAAAATGTAACATGTCCATGACAGTAATTTAATTTTACTCTGAAACATGGTAATAAATGTTTGAACTGTAGAGCATTTATGTAGAAGTGTTTTAGCCTGAAGAAATGTTTAGAGGAGAAGCTGAGCTGTGCTTCTCCCACTGGCACTACAATTTAGCAGTGTATATTCAGAAGTAAATGGTTTTCAGATTAGAACATCCTCTTACAATGAAACCAGCCAGAGGCATGAACATTAAAAAGATCAGGAGAACAGTACTGCCCAGATGAAAGACAGGCAGATGGGTGGTGAAGCAGTCCGTGCACAAAATGAACATGGTGCCCTTGTGGAAGCTTAACTGAATGCCTGGTTTGCCAGGGCTGCATGACTTCTGCATAATTTTGTCTTGTAGACTGGGAATTGACCCATGCAATTGGAAAAGGAGGTATTGACTTTAAAACAAACAAACAAAAACAAAACAACGGAGAGTGGAATTGTATGTGCCAACAACTGTTCCCAAATCTTGGTACAGACCAGTTACTGATCCTCAGTGCTGCTGAATCTTCCATTTACATACTGTTTTAAGAGAAAGTTGTGAATCATCTTTCTCATGCTGTAGCAGAAGTTGCATTGTGGGTTACCCTACTTGTGAGTCCCCGAGGAGTTTGTGTTTTTGAAGTATCAGTTAATAAAATGGAAACAAACTGAGAAAATTCTGGGAATAAGAAGTAAATGGAAGTGTTATTGCTCTTAAGATTTTAGGAAAGTTGTGACATGCTAAAATCTTGAAAATTCAATTGTATATTACTGCACTAGTGCAATGTCTTGATTTAGAAGGTGGAGGGCAGCATTGAATTCAGAGCTAACTTGTTAAAGCACTTATTATTAGAGATGCAAATTGAAACGTCCGCAATTTGTTGAGAAGTGGTAATTTTGAGGACTGAGCAAAGACGATGTGGTTTTACTTGACTAGGAGTTGTGTTTCAACAAGTAGAATGGCAGATCTCCATATAGACAGTGAAAAAGAATATATTTCTATTATTCAGCATATAATCTGTTAAAATTTATGCCTTTTTAAAAAAACTCAGGACTCAATAGAAGAGCAAGGGAGCATCTGAACTGAAACTATGCCTTCAGATTCTTTTGCGATGACTTATATGCAGCAGTATGCAGTGTTATGTCTGCCATTGTATTCTATGCTACATGTATTTCATTATTTCTGGCATGTTTGGAAGTGTCTTTTTAAAAACCATATGCATTTTAACTGGTGCATGTTAGAGTTATTTACAAACACTGGTCAAATGTGATGTGTTTGTTTAACCTAGTTTACTAGCTGAGTTAAAGGCAGAACTGTGACCAAATAAAAACATGTTTTGGCATGGCCACTTGCAATATGTCTTAAAGAAATCAAATTCATTTAGTAACAAGGGCGCTGTTTTTTTTTTCTATCTAGTTGTGCCTTGTTTAGAAAACTGATTTAAATATACAGAGTCAAATCTTTTTGCATTCTTTCGTAAAGCAGGGATTTTGAATTAAAACCTATGTGATTTTCCTCCTGCTTTCCATAAATTTCCATAAAAAGTACTCCTCCAGTAAGAACCAAGAAAATAGACAGTCTACTTACAGTTTCTATTCCATTTAATTATAAAAGCAAAACAAAAATGGGGAGAAACAAAACTACAAGTGATAGCATTCCATTCAGGTTTTTTTTTTTTTTCTGTTAAATTTCCCTATTCTTCCATTACAGGAAAAAAAAACAATTTTCCTCTCCATATTTCTTGCCAGCAAAAGCTTTGATCTTTGCTGCCTTGTTACAAATGTCCACGTTCTATCCACGGTGTGGGAGCTATTTGAGGAATATGGTTGAATGCCAGACCTGCAGTCCCTTGGCATCCCCATGGGATGGGGACAATGTAGAGGTTTTCTCAAGCACACTGTGGACTGGAGGAAGAATTTTAGTGATGTTGTCTGATACCTTATCATTCCTGCCAAGGTACAAACATTCTTGAGTTGAGTTGGTGACAACTTTCTGTCAAAGCTTCACCTGACTTGAATTCATCATAGAAGGTCTCCTAAAGTGTCGTTAATGGAGGGATGTTTGCTGAATGTGGTGCTATTTGTGCATCTCTGGAACACATGCATGTGTATGCAGATGCATGCTCACATATGGTGTATGTCTAAAAAATAATGTATGATAAAAAATACCAATTACACAGTTACCATGTTAGAATTTAATCCTGTCACATTTAGCTTGATCTATTCAGAAAATGGCAGTCCTGATACAAACTCTTTTTTTCTCATCCAACCTTAACTTGTGAGGGCTGTTCCTGATTTCAGCCACATTTGATGAAGTGGAGGGGAATGTAAATCTGATACATTTTACTCTTTGTGTCATGTGGGAAGGACTTGTTTTGAGCCCTTCTACTCAAGCTGCACTGCACTCTGTTAACCATTTCAGTATCTACACAGAGGGCAGCCATTGTAAATGTCCAACTCCAGAAAAGCCTTTTCAACAAAGCTCTGCATCTCTAAACCCAGTTGTTTGGGCACCAGATTTAAAAAAGATGCTTAAGATCAGAATTTCTCATTCCTCACATGTATAGAAACTGCTTCTTTTAGCAAACTTCACTTCTGTGTGTGTTTTAAGGTGCGGTGTGTAAGGGGCAATGGCAAGTGATAGATATCATTCTACACAATTTGAGCATCTCACTGCTTGAAAATATAGTACTTGAATTTAAAAAGCTTCAGAAGCATGTATATGCTTGGAAATAATTTCTTATATTTGTAGCAATTAAAATCCTTCTGCAAATTTCAAGCATTTCAGAGAGAAGCACTTCAGGGATGTGCATACATGTTTACCATAGTTCACTTAAATGTAAATTCCACATCCTAGTGAAACAAAAAGGTCAAAAAAACCTCTTTTTTGAGTATTAACAACATTTGAAAGCTACATTCAAATGACCACTTCTCCTATATCTACTATTAACGGAAAAAGTGATACAGAAGTAAAATTGATGTTAGGTGGTCTTTATTCTGTGGCTTCACAAGGAACGTAAGAACCATTCGGACAGCTGACATAGTTAACTTCCCATCTTTATGGTTTTGATAGTGTGGAATAGTTGAAAAGGTTTATGTAGGAAAAATGAAAGAGGAATAGTGAAAAGGATATCTTGAACAGTGACCCAGATAAATTGCCTAAAAGTTGCCTAAATTTGGTTCTTAGTGCATGACAGAATAGCTTTTATCATAGCAAGTCTATCACACTGGACGAAGTCCAGGTTGGATAGAGCTCTGGTGTCTATAGTGCATTGATTGAAGTTGGTAACCAATGTGTGAACCTGTTTTAATTACAGAAATTGTGATGGATTTAACTTGTAACTAAGTAAAATACAGCTACATACAAGTAATGTGCCTGCACTAAGCATAGATTTGAACCATGGAGTAGTTTGGGTTAGAAGGAACCTTTAATCTTGTTCCAACCTTCCTTCTATGGGCGGGGACGCTTCCTGTACACCAGGTTGCTCAAAGGCCTCTGATTGCTCCAGTCTGGCCTTGAATTTCTCTAAGGAGGGGACATCCACAACTTCTCTGGGTAACCTGTTTCAGTGTCTCACCACCCTTACAACAAGGAATTCCCTTCGACTATGTGGTCTAGTCTACCCTCTCGTTGTTTAACTCCATTTCTCCTTCTCCTGTCACTAATCCTTCTTGTGCTGGGGGGCTCCAGAACTGGATGCAGCATTCCAGCTGTGGTCTCATGAGAGCAGAGTGGAGGGGCAGAATCACTTCCTTCAACCTTCTGGTCATACTTATCTTGATGCAATCCAGGATATGGTTGGCCTTCTAGGCTGCAAGAGCACGTTGCTGGCTCTCAATTAAATCTTTAATCAACCAACACTCCCAAATTCTTCTCCTCAGGGCTGCTCTCAAGCCATTCTCTGCCCAACCTGTATCTGGACTTGAGATTGCTGACCCAGCTGCAGGACCTTACACTTGGCCTTGTTGAACTTCATGAGGTTTACATGGGCCTCAGAATGCACTTGATCCCTCTGTCTGTGTTGCCTACAGAGATGTTAAACTTTCTTTGCTGGTCCCAGAACCGATTCCTGAGGAACACCACTCATCAATAGTCTCCACTTGGACATGGACCCACTGACCACAAATCTGAGTGCACCATCCAGCCAACTCCTTATCCAGTGTATTCAGTGAGTGGTCCATCCATCAAATCCACTTTTCTCCAATTTGGTGACTAGGATATAATGTGGGACAGGGTCAAATGGTTTGCCCAGGTCCAGGTAGATGGCATCAGTTGCTCTTCCTTTATCCATTCCCCCATCATAAAAGGCCACCAGGTTTGTCAGCCATGACTTACCCTTGGTGAAACCATTTTGGTTAACAACAATTACCTCATCTTTATTTTCCATGTGTCTTAGTAGAGCCTTCAGGAGGATCTGCTCCATGATCTTATGTCAATGGTTTAAGGGCTGGTTTGGCCCGGTTTTGTGATGAGTGGAGCAGAGGGATCTGCAGATCCGCGCCTCCAGAAAAAAAGGAAACAGGAGACCCCAAAATAATTAAAACAGCGGCACCGATCTGAGGAGAAACAAACTAATTTACTAAGTATATTATCGGAATGCAAGATAACACACTATAATACAATATAATCAGAATTGAAGCTAATAAATCAAATATAAGGAGAGAGAGAATGTCTGAAAGGGTGGATAGGCCTCACCACAAGGCTGAGGTGAGGTGCGCAGTCCAGTTGAGCAGCAGGGAGACGGGAGCAGTGCCCACGACGAAGGGCAGGCGAGAAAGAAAAAAATCAGGTGGCCTTGCCAGGAGTTAAACCTCCTCTCCCTGACCACAAGGTCCTCTGGGGAATGTAGTTCTTCTTCTCTTCAGGGCAGGTACCCAGGACTTGAGCATTAACAGTTAAAGTCCCAGTGCCCCACATGATGTTATGATGTGGAATACCGAAAGCCAAAAATCACAAAGCCTTGACATCTTACCAGGCACAGAGGTGAGACTAGTTGACCTGTGGTTCCCTGGATCTTTTTTTTTTCCCTTCTTGAAAATAGGAGTAGTTTTCCCACTGATTGGAGAAAGGGAAACGTGACAGAGTCTAAATAATGTTGTCTGTTTTTTTTTTTTTTTCCCCTGAGCTGTACCATCCTAGGTATGAGTAATGTTTTATAAACACAGTGAACTAAAATTAGTATAAACTTATAATTCAACAGCACGTTTTGTGACATGACATTCAGTGGACAGAAATTGTGGCTGGAAAGGACAGAGGTGAAGTAAGTGTCTGAAAAGTAACCCTTGGTTCAGAACAACTATTAAATGTCTTTGCTGTGAAGAGAAATTGAATACAGGATTGCAGTGAGCAGTTACCAATGGAGAGAGTGAGTGAATGTTGGGAGCCCGGGAAGGTTATGGAATAGTTAATAGTGATATTAAAATGGCAATAGAATAAGAGTGCCAA